ACATAACCGTCAATACTGGGTTTAAAAAATTTGAGAAGCCTTGAAATGGAGTTGTCTTTATTAGTTTCTAGAGAAAATTTCAATGCTTTCCTTAAAGATTTGACAGCTGCATGCGCTACGCGTAGTGAGGATATGAAAATTCATTCAGTAAAACTTCAAGTGTAGTGTGATCCAGCCTTCCTAAGAGACAAATAATTACTTATGGTCTTCGAGAAGCAGTACATAAGACACTGGTCGATTCGTGTGCGAAACGTACAATTGAACCGATTCGTTCATCAGCATGCGGTACTCTTATTGTTACGACAATGACGTCGGGCGGCAAGACCCTAGAATATATGGTCACTATAGATTAACACTGACCTCCCGTTTGTTGAAGTTAACACGAATGAGAGTGATTTTTCACAACGTAACCAGATTCTGACTTCACAATTTAAATATTAAGAAACGTTTATGGTCGGGGGGGTCCCTAATGTATTAGTGACTGATAATGGCTGTCATTTTGCGGCAGATATAATCATCACTATCTAGCTGAATTTTATAAAGTTCAAACATCTGTTAGCTACTCCCAGACACGCCTGTTCTAGTATTCGATTTTCGTCATGAGATTCAAAAACGCTATTATTGCCGCTGCTGCTCTAACATTTTGTGAACTGAAGAGGAGGTTAGACAGATTTCTACTACAATATGGAAATGTTAAACATTCTAGAGCGAAAGGGACTCCATCAAAGTTATTAAGAGAAATGGTTCTTCATTCAAATATGAGTTACTTAGAGTCTGCAGAAGTTAAATATTATCATGGAAATGATATTCAACCAGCATTGGGGGTAGTTGCAGTGAATTTTGAAAAATCTATGATTCGGAGTCTAGATTTCACTGATTTAATTACACATATTGATGTGTTGATAAATTGCAATTACAGGGACCATATGAGTGTGCTCTAATTTCGGCAGTCGATCCTAATATCAATGAGAATATTCTAGGTGATGTATAATCCGTATCCAATACGCAACCGGACAGATACATAGTAAAACTAAGTAAACGGCATACAATCCATTACAGAAATTCGGATTGCTATTTAAGCTGTGACGGTTGTGGTATTTGCACTTAATGGTGATTCGTTTGTGCTTGATTGCTCATTGATTACGAATACCAAATGTGATACGTTCATTTGTATTAATGTAGTATTGTAGAATTAAAGTCTACTATAATATAAGTGCTGCTCTAATAATAGACCTAATCCTAAATTTGTAGATTTGTCATCATATAACTGCCTAATCTATAAGATCTTACGTGGAAGTCACGCCATCGACTACGCCAACTCACTGTATCGTATCAATTACCAATACATGATGTAGAACAAAGTTAAGCTAGAGAAAGAACAATGTATTTAATATGAATAGAAGATATAAGATAACATTCAGCAGAGACCACGCCTGCATGGCCGAGCCATGCCATTCGATCAACTCTAATTCATTCAATTCATTATTCGCACCTTCTCCATCGTTAGGTATTTCTTCGCGTTAAATATTGAATACCTATTTTCCGAGTAATCTTGTATTCAGCTTTGAGGATAGTGTGGTTATGGTCCAATGCCACTACAGTATTACCTACCTAAAACTTCATTATTTATAGAATCATTAGTTATTACAATAATTCGAATACTTATAATCATCACAACCTGTTCAGATTTGTAAGTGATCTGTAGCGGTATTGGTGCCTTAACACACGATCTTTGAAGCCAAATAGATGATATCTGAGAAGATTCACATCTAACATTTAACACTTAGAGAAAGTGAAATGGTGAATGATGAAAAACTCAACCGGTATGACATAACTCGACCATGCAAGTGTAAATAGTCAATACAACCTCTTGCTTGTCACATTATATGTTATTCTCTTTCCTACTCATATATATTCTTCGAGAACCCTTAGTTCCAACTAATGAATGTCAAGATTTTACGAATCATCATATATAGGGGTGTGATTTCCACGTAAATGTGATAGACAAAATATTCATATCATGAGAAATTCACAACTGTGGGATAGGTCTATTCCATTCTGGTAGCATAGATAAATGTACCAATATATTTATATACCATAAATCTACAGATGTTTTCCAATCGTTCTTTCTTACTAATGGACCGAGTGCAAATGTATGATGAGCGAATTTGTAAAATTCTCTGGGGGTAGGTAGGACACACATTCATGAAATTAGCAAACTTCATCACCAGGCATGCACCAACTTGAAATCCTGAAGAAAAACGGGAAAGCGGAAGACCAGATAATACACTGCGTCGAGAATTGGAAGCAGATATGAAAAAGATGAATAATAGATAAAACACAACTGGATAGATTTCGATAGAGAGTCCTAGTGGGTAGCCTATGAACCTTCACGAGGAGTAACAGGTTTAAAGAAGAAGAAAGAAGATAATATCAGTGACGTCTAAACACCCCATCAGCATGTTTTCGACCCCTTGTATGGCTACAAGTAAAATAAAGTCGTTATGATACTATTTTAACGAAATGTACTTAACAACACTCAACTCATACCCAGTACACCAATATTTGACCAGAAATCAGGAGGTTCACAAAGGTGTGAAAACAGGTCGTTTTCCCTCCAATTTTTTAAAGGGAGAGTAAACCTCTAACTTTTAACGGTCTGGTAGTGATTTCGCCTCACAAAGTTTTAGATGCTAGTGCTTATTTTATTAGAGACATAGCAGCAGTCGATTCGACCCTTCATCAAGTTCACCCATTTCGTGATCATGTACACTCTTTTTTAAAAATCATGTACACATCCTCGCGCAAAAAACCACAATATTGCTGAAACTTTTTTTTATAAAAGGGATATGGTCGAAGTTATTGAATTTACGTTCGAATTCAGGTGTAAAATATAGTTTTAATAATTCCCACCGATTGTCAAAATCACAATGGACGGTGAACAAAATACAATGAGTGTTTTATTTCAACAATCTCCAAGTAAAAATCACTTATAGACAACAATGGTTATTCTGCAGCGATTCATTGAACGTTCCTAAAGGTCTTTCCATCTTTCCTCTTTACTTCCCATAGAAACGAGTTTTTGTCTCTTATTGATTGTTGGTCTGTTGGTAATGGTCTCATACTTATTCCTTCTGAATATCAAGCTGCTAACTTTAGCATGAGTCATGAACGATATCTAAACACCATTTTTAGAACCCATAATGTCTGTGGCATTGGAGACTCTTTGATAAGAACAGTGTCGAAGGTCAATTGTCTTGGTGCTACCTCTTCCTCTGATCTTCATTGGTCTGCTCACGTTTTATTGTTATCGAAGAAGGTTTTCCGTCTGACTTACCACATAAAAAGATTGCATGCTCTGGGATTACTAGTCATTTACTCTTGCAATTTGTCAATTCTTGCATATTACCTATTATTCTTTACTCTTCCCCATTATTCTTTCCCGGGCCTTCCAGAAAAGACTTTTCTGTATTGTGGAGAGCTCTGAAGGCAGTTAGCAAGGTGTGTGGTGAATCTTTCGCGGTCATTATTAATATGGTTGTGGATAGACATATAAAGTCATGCAAACTCCTGGCAGGTGTTATTTTATCAGATGCTAAGTATACCCTTCACTCTTATCTTTCTCTTTGTATATCTTCTGGTAGAATGAGACGTAATTACATTAAAATCCATGCACGCAAGCGAAAGTATAAAAGTTCTATAATACCTTACCTAGCAAATATACTCTGTGACGAACAGGTTGTTAGAGTTAACCTAGTCAATAACTTGCATTCTTAGGATTTCTCTAATTTGAAAAGTTGTACAGTTTTCCAGATTTTTTTTAAACCTTTCTTTTCCTTTTTTCGTCTTTGTTTCTGGTTATTTTTTTGTGTAGGAAACTTGTTGAAATACCCTGTGTTGAGAATTTCTATACTGTACCAATATATGATACTGAACAAAGCCAATAATAATAATGATAGTACTTATGCTGGCTTTGCTCACTAGCGCTGAGTTTCAGCCAAAACTTGTGAAATCACCAGAGCGAACGCTAACCCTGACCAGAGGACGGGAAGCGAAGGTGTTGGTCTCGAAGAAAAAATGTTTTTACGATTAAGCATGAACAATCGTATCAACAATTCACCTTTTTTTACAGGTGTACTTATCATGAAACGAAAGTGTACAACAAAGTGGGTCACAGTATTAGAGGGAAAACTTATTCAGATAGACATAAACACCTGGGGTTAAAGTCAGTGTTATAGCGTTACATGTCATGAAAAGCTTACGAGTGAGCTCACAACTGTCCATAAAGATCACCATTGCTATCCACGAAGTAGCTGTAGGAGAACTGAATAATAAGTTACGGATACCCAGGCGAGTGTCGCATACTCACCGTTGGACCATCCCATAAGTAGTGTTTTCCCTTGCACTCCTTTCTTCGTTCTTACTTAGAACTTACAATGCTTTGAGCAGCTAGTTGAATGCCTTATAGATCGGAAGCCACTGATTTAAGTAGTACCAGTTTCTAAACGCAAATACATTCATTCATACTGAAGACATACCAACTATCAAATGACTTTCGGATTCGCTGGAACTAGTGTAGTCATGTAGCTGGACTGCTAACATTGATCGACAACAGAGACCAGTAAGCGTACATTGAGGTTCAGAAATGGATCCATCAATATCCTTTTGTCGATGATTGATCTTCTGGAAGGATAATTCTCATAGATTTCAGAGATTAAGACCAAGTATTTTACATCGGAATGCTCATTTCCCATAATGTCGTAAATGAGTGGAATAATTTACCACATCTTATTGTATCAAGGCTTTCTGTTAACGTTTTAAAAGTTATTCGAACTACATTGCACTGTCAACCTAGTACGATTTGACCTTCTATCCAAACTGTTAAAGAATAGGGATATTGGACTTTGGGTATGCGCGCGCTTAACGAATACTTTGGTATATCTTTAAGACTGATTCAATGTGGAAATGAATTAAACATTTTTTTAACACATGTTACTTAGATGATGAGCTGCTTTCCGTACGGCCATAGAGGCAATGCCTCTTCTCAGTTCGAAAGGTCCGAAGTAACACAGGTATGTTTTTCTTTTATTGGGTACAATCGACTATATGAGTATATTTCAACATGTATTAAGATGTCCTCACAATGTTTACCGAATAATTTTCCTGCTTTCCTTCACTCCAAGTGTTTTTTTGATAACAGTTGAAGTAGTGCATTCTGTAGATTAGCTTTATACTGCTGAAATAAGGGAATCTAACACAGTCGTTCTTACATGTCATTTTCTAATAAATGAAGTACTTTTCTCAGGTTTTTCTTCAGGATTTATTTTGCTTGGAGTTACGTTTAGATTTATTAAGTGAATAAATGTCTCACATCATACATGTCTTGGGTAGCCAGTACTAACTATTGTATAATTTTCCTCAATAACTAATTTTTCTCTTAAAATGTCGACAGTATCCATTGTTTTTCACCTCGGACTTTTTGTCCGGTGTTTTCGTTGGTTTAGAAGCTATGGAAGCATAATTGTCGTTATCTCTAGAGTTTCAAGCTAGTGTATGTTCACAAGCTTCTTTGCTCACCCGTGCCATCAGCAGAGTTCCATCTATTCGGATGAAATTGGGTAATTCCCCACAACCTAATACTTCACAGTTAGATCCATCAAAACAAATTTTCATCCTACCCTTGACTTATTGTATCGTCAGATAACAACTAGGTCATGGATTCGTTTTTCAAGATTTTCTCTGGCGAGACTAATTTATGGACGAATCAATCAAGTATAAGATAACAGGTCTTAAATTTTGGCTTCAAATTCATTCGTTCATTTGGCAAAATATCGTTTTGGCATTAAAACCGATGTCAGTTTGTGATGAAAACCCTAAATTTAATCCCTAACCTTGACCATCGAATGTAAATCATAATTCTTATTCCTCACACTGGTTTATAATGATCATTTGGTCTTAGTTGTTAGGTAGGTCACTCCAGCGTTGCTCGAAGGTCGTCCATAAATTATAGCCTTTTATTAAGCCAGTCGTGTGGCATCACTAACATTTATAATGTAGCTTGGAGTCGGTTAGACGAGCATGTACTTGGCAATTGCACTACACTTATTTTAACCTATGTTGAGATGGTCAACAAAGATTCCTCAAATAATGTGTATACGGTCACATTATCGCTTATCAGCTTGTAACATCAACCTGAAACCTTTTTAAGGTTTGGTTACATGTAATGACAAATTCACCTGATCTTGTAGCTATAAAATAACATTTATGGGTACATATATAGTATTTATAACTACTAAATTTTGATATTCATTCCTGGCAAAGTTGGTAGCTAAAATCGACTGTCAGATTTGACTATATTGGTGACTATTTGGTGTACTGGTTTTTCCCCTTTTATTTCAGAACCAATGCCCTGCACAGTTTTATTAAAAATCTACTTAGTTAACTGAGCTGTATTTCTGATTGCACCCAATAACATTAAAGCTGACATGTTTGTCTGTTGGTTGCTAATTGTTTTACTATCTCCACTTAGTATAGCTTACTGGGAGATTTATGTTTCCGTAGTCTCCTCAAATGTTCACAGTATTCTACCATGAATGTGTGCTAGTGCTAATGACTGAAGTATAGCAGTTTTGGAGATTACTCTCTTTAATTGATGAATCAATCATGTGTAGTTCCTGTTGTATTGTTTGTTTACATTATCAAGTAATAGTTTGAATCAAACCAGTCTTGTGAAATTGTGATAGTGTATTTTAACAGTGTCTTAATTTATTTCTATCTTATTTAAAGGTGGATGATATAAGTAGCTATCGTTGCAAGTCCAATTAACGCGGAGTCTAAATCTTGTGTATTTATGTGTACATAAATCCATTGTTTTCCTCGTCGTTATCATCGGGGTAATTTACCCTTTCACGTTATGTGTATTGACAACTGTTCATGCGTTTATCTATTTTAAGGTTCAGGGCGGCCTGTGCTAGAATTAGTATCAGTCCATACAATTGTCAACTCTTGGTCTAAGCTACATTGACGTGTAAGTTTCTTAGTCAAGATCCGTGAGACATATGTATTTATCAGTTGTGGATTAAGTAATATTTTTCTACAGCTAGGTGACTATGTACTCTAATATTTGATGGAACCAGTGACACTTCTCAACTGTTTAAGCTGAAGTTCCAAGCTACAACGTAACAGATGGAATTCGAATTCTTTTGATTTGAACTGCTGACTATGTACTGTTTCAAAATGAATCACAATGGTACAGGTATTATCATTCCTTATCTTCCTCTAAACCTTAAGGAATATATTATCTCATACCTTTTGTTTCTTTTTGGCTGTTTTGACTCATTTTGCCGCCTCAGTATCATTCCTACTATTATTATTAACCAATTCGTCTATTAACTTATTAGCTTGAGGTATAATATGTTTGATTTACACGTTTCTGTCAGGTTTTCAGTTTTATCCTTAGTCGGAGTCATAAAAATGTTCTTACATATGCATGATTGAACGTGTTTTATACTCATGTATTAGTGAAATTAGGACTGTCAGCCCAACGCTCACATCAAATTAATTGATTTCGTTAATGAGCGTCTATCACGTGTCTATTTGGTAAGTTCATTCGAGTACACAGTAATGTAAAATTTAATTAATCATCCAGAGATGACCCACTAAAAGTAGTGTAAATAAACGGGAGAAGGGAAATTAGACAATTGTTTAAAACTACTATTTGAAGAGCTTTATCGAAAGACACACATGACCATATCTTCTCAGTTTCTCCCTTGGAAGTCTTGTTGTCTGCCTTAAAGTTTAGGGAGTGTTTCTTGTAAAAGTAAATATATGTCGATATATTCGGTTTTCTATATATAAATCGAGAGGAACCATTACTTATTGTATGTTATTCCTCTGTTTTATAGACTAACTTCTACATTATTTCGGGACTAGTTTAAGAACGTCATCTGACTACATTCTGTCATCAAGGTTACGACTAAGGTTTCGATTACAAAAAAGTGAATATCTGGATATCACTTAGAACAAGAAATTAATAATGAAACACTTTTTTTCTTAATTGTTGTTATTGCTTTAGTTTTATTTTCTCATGTTTTTCAGAATTGGGTGACTAATCCTACACATGGTACTGATACTACAGGTGGCAGAACACCTGCACCGCCCTTAAGGACAACAAGCGCACCTCTTGGAAGGTAATTATAAACACCAAGTGTATTTTTGTATTGTCCTTTCTATTTCCAGTTCCATTGAAAATATATCCTTTAAACCGAATAAACCATTACCACTTACACCAGTGGAAGAAGAAAAACGTGACAAAAAGAAATACAAAAGTAATTATTTGATTGACTTTCTTAAAATATCCTAATCGTTTTTAACTAAAGGTGGTACCAGTAAACTTGGAAAATTCAAACCATCTGTTATGCTCAATATATCAGCACCAGTCAATGTTATGCATAAAGTACACATTACAATAGATCCAGTTACTGGTGAATTTGAGGTATGTGTCTTGAATGCTTTTAGTATTGTTTTTACCAGTGTTAATATAAAAGATAAAAATTATCATTGAAGTTTTATTATAAATAGTCTTATGGTGGTGTTTACTTCGTTCCATTCTATTCATAATATAGAACTTTCCCCGAACAGTTATTGTTTAACGAAACCTTGTATATGATTCCAAGGAAATTTAGTTTGTTTTTTAAATAATCAAATTGTACATTCATGAAATAATTGGCTAGGTGTCTAGGTGTGTCGAATCCTCCAGTCTTACTATATGTTGCTAATATCCAAAAAAATATCAAATGTCCAGTTGTGAAAACTGTCGTCTCTTAAAAACTTGGAAATCTAATCATATCTCTGCTAATGTTAAATTTATGTGATATGATATTCAAAAATCAGGCCTAACAACCAGATCTTAATTGATTGAAGAGTGAGTGGCTTACGAACTAATTTTCTTCAATCATCTATGATATCTTATCGTGTTTACTTCGTGGTAATACTTTGTGTATAAGCATGTCAATTTATTATATAAAAAAATAATTATTTTAATGACTATCAATTCATCTTACTCATTTGACTTCACCCTATTTCATCGCGCGTTGGATTATCATTTGTTTGTACGTCACGTCCGCGAGACAATAGCAACCGGTGGTTAGAGACCTTGAATGAAATGGCTTAAAATCGTTTGAAATGAGACAGGTGCATCCACTCTTTGTGTTCTCCTGAATTTTTCATGTCCCTTTTTTAATCTTTCCAAGTTTATCTCACTGGATTATTCTCCTTGAATAATATCTTTAAACCCTAATGTTTCCGATTACTGCTTATGCTCTTACTACCTCTACCACTACGGAACTTAAATCGACAATTGTATCTCTGTGTTAATGTGGTATGGCACCTTGAATTGATGTACGTACGTACGAAGTTCTACGTAGTTACTGACTGACTGTTTGTGTGTCACTGTTCCAATCTATCTAATTCTCACAAATCCCGCTCCATAGTAAAAAAATTTGTTAATCGCCTCAATCCGGAAGTTCCGAACCTAAATTCAGTTCACAAAAATACACTAAAAATGAAAATAAAATTACTGCTTAACGATATGAAATAATTTTGACTTATAACTCCCTTTTCAACTCGTTAGTAGATTCACTTTGATTATCTCAATTACGGATTTCTAGATAATTAATAGGTACTCTTCACTGTCAAAATAATTATCAAACTGAGCTTATTAGATTAAACATAAATCTTCATGAGATCAATCTTCGGACCTTAACTTTGTAGATTAGTTGGTCAAATTATCATTGTTAATACGTTGAATCAATATCTATCATTCGATACACACCCAGTATAATTAAAGCATTGTCATATATAACAGGTATTCAAATCAGATAGTGATAATCAGTACATTTTGGAGTTTTTTTATCATGGCGTTCAGAAGTTCCTGTTTGGGAAGGGGGTATACTACTATTACTACTACTACTACTACTACCACCACCACTTGTAACTACTTGACGGCTGTCTAGTTACTATTTAATTAACGATTGACTTGGAAGTTGTTTTTGTCAATATATACATGTATATGATTATGCTTGTTTACTTGTTGATTTCCTTATAAAAATATAGGGTATGCCTCCAGAATGGTCTCACATGTTAACGGTGGCAGGCATCACAAAATGGGAACAACAACAAAATCCAACTGTTGTACTAAATGTGTTAAATTTATTGAGTAGAAAAGATGATACTCCTCAAAAATATATGACAAGTATTATAGGACCACCAAGTGGTAAGTTGCATCGATGATAGATTGTTTTATTGTTTATGATTATTTGAAATGTTTTATAGTTTTGAAATAGTTTTCATTAATAATTAACACGTTAATAAGACGTTTATTTATTATTTATTTATTTTAACATATAGATATTAGTACAAGGAGGCATCAAATACATATGCGCCACACAAATCTCATTTCATATGTGTGAGGGCTGTGATACTGCCCGGGTGCCCAAACCGAAGTAGGTGGTTCTCTTAGAGGATCACACCCCGAATCATTGACCTAAAAGTCTGATCCACAAGGCAGTCCCATGGTAGCCGGTGACCAACAATCAGTTCATAAGCCATTTGTTCGTTTAGGATACTGAAGCCAGCCGATGTGCACCATTGGTTCGGAATTAGGGTTTTTCAATTCCCCTAGGTGGACTCTTCGTATCCACCAACCCGGTTAGTGTTGGACATTCGGTTTCCATTCTCTCAATTTTGTAAACAACACCCCTTTTGTGAGAAGGCAGTGAGTAGGATTTCCCTGGCAGAGGCTATATACGCGTGGCCATGTGAGAGAGTTTCGAGAGGGAGAGCGGACTCTCCCCACTCTCGGCCATACCGGGGCATTTGGGGGCTAATAAGAGGTTAAAGATATGTGGACTTTGGAACTTTTCACCACTCCATATTCTAGACATCTTCTGGAATAAAATTTTGTATGTTCAGGTAAATCAGTGAAAATTTCGCCTTAAAGTTACTAGGTCGGTGTTTCAAAACTTTACGTATTGTGATTATAAAACATATTATCTTCAGAATTAATTGTTCCTATAGATCGACTCTTTGAATAATCTCGTTTTCGGAATTATTTTATTCTTAAAAATTGGTCTGTCATTCTTTCGGTATATTTTTTTTGGAGCAAACCTTATGGATCGATTCCATCATTAGAAGATATAAGGGACTGGACAGTTAGTTCATCAATTCTTAAAATTTCTTCCCAGTAAATATGTATTACTTTACCAAAATTAATTATATTATAGGAATTACTAGGTATTGTTTACGAAAATCGAATGTCCGTCACTTTAACCGGGTTGGTGGATACGGAAGGTCTACCTAAGGGAGTTGGAAAACCCTGATTCCAAACCAGCGGTGCAAATGGGCTGGCTTCAGTATCCTGAAGGAACAAATGGCGTATGAACCTATTGTTGATCACTGGTTACTATGTGACTGCATATCCTTACGTTGCTCCACTACCTCGTGGATTAGACCTTTAGGTCGATGGTTCGGAGTGTGGCCTCCTAAGAAAACCACCTCCTTCGGTTTGGGCACCCTGGTAGTATCACAGCCCTCACATAAGTCGAATGATTTATGTGGTGCCTTCTTGTATCAATATTTATGTGTTTAAATGAATAAAACATAAAAAATAATTAACGAATCAATTAATATTTCCCCAATATTAGTTGATTTGACATACTACGGACATGATAGAGTTATGGGTTGGTGCTTTGAGTGCTCCACTTTCAATCTTTCCATCGGTCGTTTGAATCGCACTACACATAATCCGTTTGAACAGTCAAATATTATCATCATCCTTTACACAAAAGGTGGCGTAAAGCGGAATACGGGGACATGTCCTTGGTAAACGAGTTGCACAAAATTATATCAGTTATTTTCAACTTCCAACTTATGGTTTAAATGGTTAGGTTGTATCACTTTCAGTACCACACAATGTGTTCCTATGTATCTTAGTGCTTAATTCTGTATATTGTACCATCTCATTGTCAGCCTACGTCTTTGGGTAATGGAAATATTTGAAAATGAAATCCAACATTTACACACTAGACTCTAAGTTACACTTACTATACGCATTTGTTTAGGATATTATTTAGAGGTGCTAAAATGCTTATAGATGAAATAGGAATCATATACTTCACTCAATTCTCGTTACTCACGTCTCTAATTCACTGATTTCTTGGAAACCGAAATTATATACTGTTATTATCGAGTCTTTTCCAAAGTAGATTTCCCTGATATCATTATTAATATAGTCTTTGTCCATAGTTTATCACATTAATCAAGCATTTGTTTCCACTCTTACATGTGTTGATGCTGTCATAATTTAGTATCTTAATGCATAGTTTAAAATTGTGTAGTTTCTGTTAGGTTGGATTTTTTTACTAGTTCTTATAATATCGGTTATTTCTCAGTGATCGATCAACCTAGATATTCCAGACTTGAAAGAAGTGATTTGTCACCCAAATAGTTTAGCTTTATTATCTATGCCTGTAATATTACCTTGTTGATAACTCTCAATGAATAAAAAGTCGAAAGACTCTTGGAGATTACTTCCAGTGATCTAATGACTTGTTTTCTTCATACATCACGAGATTGCGCTGATATTAAAATTTAGTACACAGTATCTGTTTACCCATCAGTGTGTCGAGCGTAGGATATAATAGCGAAAACTGTTCCGTTAAAAAAGTAGGAAGGAATTCTCTCAGTTGGGAAAATTATTTCCATTTTTATTAAGAAATTGAATGAAAATTACAGCAGGATCACCACTGTTTCTATTCTGAACCATGTCTAACACTATTTCAAACCACTGCTTCGCATTTTTTTACGAACTTGGAGTCGTAGCGGTCGAACAGATGTCAGTCTTGTACGGTTTCTTTCCATGCGGCAGCGTCAAATCAAACTGACCACCTCTATACTTTTTCCAAATAGTCTTAGCATCGGCAAAGAAGGCAGAATGTAGAAGTTACTGAGGTAGCATTCGTAGCACATGTTCAAGCCACCGAAACCAGTATTTCAAGATGATGGCATCATTTGTATTTTTCTTTTTTCCTGTTGATGTTAAGGACTCCAGACGACCAATCCCTATCGACATACGTGCATGTTGAGCGAATCGCCTCCATGTTGACATTTGGTCAAGAAACTTGGTAACGCTGAATTATAGTTAGCAGTTAAACCCAGGACGTGAGTCCTACCCTTTTTGGAACCCATCAACTAGCTGTTTGGATTTAATAGTTCAGTAGATAACATGTTGACTCTTGAAGCGATACTGTGGTAATTGGTTCACATCTAAGTATAAATGTCAACATTCGGACGTAATAGGTTCATTCAACTGCCTGAACCCAAACAGACGAAACATGCGTCCTAGATTTAATTGCTAACCATACTTCAGCTTGACAGTTGAGCCAATCCGCTAACAAAAACTGATCAGTAGCAATTGCAAATAACATCAGTTGGGAATTACAAAATGTAACCCGTCTACAATAAAACACATAAACATTAGTACAAGAAGGCACCAAACAGATATGCGTCACATAAATCATTGGATTTGTGTGAGGGCTGTGATACTACCAAGGTGCCCAAACCGAAGCAGATGATTTTCTTAGGGGATCACGCCCGGAGCATTTGACCCAAAGATCTAATCCACAAGGTAGTGGAGCAACGTAAGGAGATGCAGTTTCATGGTATATGGTAACCAACAATAGGTTCATACGCCTTTCGTCCCCTCAGGATCCTGGAGCCCATGTGCACCATTGGTTTGGAATGAGGGTTTTCCAACTTCCCTAGGTGGATCCGCCAACCCGCTTAAAGGTCCGGTCATTCGCTCTTCATCTTCTCAATTTCGTAAACAATAGTAATGCCACGAGAATGCAGTGAGTAGGACTTGCGTGGCGGTGGTTGTATGCACGTGGCCATGTGAGAGCATTTTGAAAGGGACAGTTGACTCTCCACACTCTCGGCCATACCAAGGTATTTGGGGGCAATCTACCTAATTACTGATTATCAACTGTCATTCATCTTATAAGAATTGTTTTCCAAGAACAAAAGCTGTTGTTTTATCACTGTGATATAAACTTACTATTTCAAACCATGAAGTAGAGAGATGTTGATGTATAGGTACTCTAACAAATCATCATACATAATCACGTCTCATAGAGCTTAATACATTTGAACAGTCAAATAACAAATGATTTTAAATAATTAGTTGTAGTCAACTAAACATTTCATTACATTAATACACATCATAGTAAAAACATCCTTCTCCTTATATCATTCAATTGTATTAACAAAATAGGAATAGGAAATATAAGTTTCTACGAAACTTCAGTTTGTTAATTAATAATAAGATCAGAAGGGGTTTTGTGGAGATTGTAGTAATTTCAACAGTTGAGAAAACCTGGAAGCACTGGACGGCCGTGGTGATGGTCTAACTTCAATTGACTCATGATCTCAACTGTTGAAATTATTACAATGCTTCAAGAGATATATCCTGGAGTTCTAGTGAAAAGCAGTGATCAGTGGAGTTCAATCGGGTCAGTTGTGAGATAGTAACTCACTGATGACAATGGTGTACGGTGGCGCAACTTCGTGGATTAGTTGAAGTTAGACATTAACACCGTTGGATGCCGGCTCAGTGGTCTAGTTGGTTAAGCACCTGGCGCGAGACTGATAGGTCATGGGTTCAAATCCCACGAGACGGGGTAGTAGATGCTTACTGCTGAGGAGTCTCACAATAGGACGAAACAGCCGTTCAGTGCTTCCAGGTTCTCCATGGTCTAACTTCAATTGATTCATGATTTCAATCTATTAATTGTTTGCCAATATTTAAATTGGAACATAACAGTATATCATTCCTTTATACATGTATATAAGTTGTAATTGTTGTACTGCTACATGTAGTATGCTAAAAAAATCAATTTAGGTGACCTAGTTTCCTGGTCATACGATGACACCAATTATTGTTCATCATTTTTATATATATATATATATATATATATATATATATATATATATATATATATATATATATATATATATATATATATATATATATATATGCATGTATAAAACATCTGATGTAATCAAAGTTCATGTTTGTATTTATGTATATACTAAATTTGCCCATAATTAAAGAGAAAAAGAGAGAGAAGGAAACAGAGAGTACTTCTTTTTCACTCTGTTACTACCCAATACTTATTTTCTCTCTTCCATATTTACTCTTCATCATATTTGTTTGTT